TAGCTATCCTGATGCAGTGAGTGATTAAGTATGTATTTCTTCACTGTATCGAATAATTGAATTGAATTGAATTGAATTGAACAAGGCCGAATTAGCGAGCCTGGTTTGCAAAAGTGAAGATAGTTGAAATGTTTTTCTCTTGAAATGTGTTTCTAGCCCGGTATAGGTTCAACAGCTCATTTGAGTTTATTTTGAACATTTGACAAAATATATATATTTTGTGTCAATTCTGCTGATTTATTTGTCTTCTAAGAATTTTAAAACTAATATTTCGAATTGCCACTTGAACATGATTGGTAACTTTCAGCCAATCACATTCAAGCCTTTCAGCCATAGTTTCAGTTCAAGAATTCAAAATGAAACGTTTGGGCGGAATAAGAAGTGCTGATTTAAATTATTCGGACAAAACGCACAAAAGTTGAATTTAAATTGCATTTTTCTCAAATTGGGTTGAATTTTTAGAAGAAATATTTTGATGTAAGTTGTAATAACGAAATTCGGGCCTTAAATTTTACAGCAGAAATGCAATATTTTTGGCTTTTGTTTCAGTCAATCAAAAATTATGCTGAAACTACCGGGTCACTTACTGACAAAACTATCTCAAAGTGATACTTCTGTGAAGCCCAACTTTAAGAAGGGTTTTCTCTCCTAAAGATTGAGCGAAATCTTTTAAAATTGTTTTCAAAAAAAGTTGGTGTTTCAGTTGGAAAAAGTGACATTTTTTGTCTATCAAACAAAAATAAAATAATTCGTACATTTTCTTTGAAATTATACTCCCTAAAATAAGCTCTAGAAGTAAGTAATTGACCCGGTAGTTTCAGAAAAACTTTTGATTGACTTAGAAAAGCAAAAAAAATCCATTTTGTGGTAAAATTTTTGTCCTGATTTTCAAACAATAACTCACACCAATTAATTTTGCTAAAATTCTTAGCTGTTTTTGCCACTATCATTTTTTGTCTAAAATCAATCCATTTCGAGAAAAACGTGGTTTTAAATTTCGAGTTTTATGCACTTTGTCCCGAAAATTCATTTCAGCACCATTGAAAGACCCAAAAGTAAATCTGACAGTTTGACTTATCGAAACAACAATGTCTCTGCTTTGAAGTTTGTTCAAAACAGTTTTCTTAAATAATATATTTTTAGGTTGAGCAGAGCAGATATTTTTATAAGTTTCTCATAATGTTCCACGATTCTAAAAAGCAGCTTATCAAACGTTTTGCCTCTATCAATGACATTTTATAAAAATAAACTGCAGTAGGCAAAGTGTATAAGAAAGTTTCCTAGATAACAAAACCAGATAAAAGACCATTTATAAGTTTTAGAAATCTGGCCATGATATACTTTTTTTTATTTATTTTTGTATTATTAGCCAAACAGTTTGCTTATTGACAATTATCATAATAAGTTTCAGAAGACGAATGGATAGGATTGCGCGATAGCTAATGACGCTATGAAAAATTATTTTTGATTTGTTTAAAAAATTTTTTTGATTACATTGCACTATCCATGTTACCAGATAAGACACAAAATATTGATTTTTTGCTTTGGAATTTTTTGGTCAAAATTCATGCATTATTACCACTATCTAAAACTTTTTACATGCTTCAATTTGAAAAAAAAATCCAAAATTGAGTTCTTGTTATTACAGTATAGAAACTCTTTCAATTTTTTTGGCAATTTTTTAATTTTGAGTTTTTTGGAAGATGGTCAACCCGGAGGATCAAGTTCTCTGTGATGTAGTTCATCATTTTTTTGGATATTAGTTATTTGGAAATTGCGTTTATGATGAGTTCGTTGTTTATTTCGAAAAAATTACTCGAACGTAGGTTTTCCGTTGTTTATTTCGAAAATATTATTGGAACCTAGGTTTAGAGCATTTTTTGTGCCTCAAAAACAGCTCGTACGGGGGCAAAAAAGCAGCTTTTTTATCGATGATTAGTTAGCATTGCAAACAAGTTTCAAAAATTTGTACCGTTTTTCAATCTTCAATCGACTCCTAAAATGCTCTCAGCATTGAAAAAAATCAGCTTAATTGGTTCATTTTTCTTATTAGGAAAGCGAGTGAGCTTGTACTGCAAAAACCTTTAATTAAGCGTAAAATTCTTTTGTTTTAGTTTGAATTATTGAAAGTGAGTTTTTGAAGCTAAAAACAGCAAAGACTCCCAAAATTGATTTTGGAAAGCTTCTCATATGTTTTTTGATTTCAAAAGATTATTTGTCTTATAAATCTTTCTGTTAATGTTCAAGCGAAACTTGCGGACTAAAAGATTATTCAAGTTGAAAAAAATCATGTTTTTTGATGAAAACTAGTTGTGTTTGGAACTTTCACAGCTACCGGCTACTATGTTCCCCTCATATCCAGGAATTAAGTAGCTTTGTAAACATACCGGCGTTGCCGGCCATTTTGTACCTCTTGCATGTACAGAAGTGGCTGAATAAAAAGCCTAGCACTGTTTCTTCTGCTGTGATTTAATAATGAGTATAGTTTGCTGAAAGTAAACAAAAAAATACTAAAAGGAGATGTTAGTAGTTTTAGCACAGGCTTTGTATCAACAGAACCGTTCTCATTATTCGAGGCGATTTGACTTAGTGTTAACGACAAAAGAGTTAACGTTTTTTCCCAAAGAGTGTTTTCATCAGTCTGATCAGCCAGAGTTTCAATTAGTTTCATCCAGCTTTTATCCCACTTATGTTCCGACTTTGAATTCGACTAAAGGGCCTTCTCCGCTATGACTTTTCGGTCGCCTGGCATGTGGTCGACCTGCCGGGGTCAAAACATAAATAGCAAACCTCGACCCGGGTTGTATGAAACATTTTCAGATCTATTTGGATTAGAAAGCTTTCGAGAGACCCAAAGGCATAACTCGCACAGCAATTTCACAATCTACAAAAAGAACTCTCGTTCGAATACAAGTTTTTGTTTGCTTTGCTTGTAGCATTTGAAACTCTAATTGCAAGTTGAAAGTTTTCGGTTGCCACACATGAAAAAATCTATGGTCAGCGCAACGGCCCTTTTCTGATAAACGCCTGGGCTGACAAATGTTAGACAACCTTTCTATACAGTTTTCCAAGCAGTTCAAATGCTTCATTTTCACCACCATTTCAGCAAATTAGACGGATGCTACAAAAACGAAATAATACGGAATTTTTTTACAGACCTGGCTTTTTAGACGTCACTGCTCTGAAAAGGAAAATGCCAACAAAATTTTTTCTTAAGAGTCAAACTTCACGAATACAGAAAGAAAATAAAATGACAATACCTATCAAAACATTTAATCGAATGATTATAAAGTGTCAAATCTGAAGAGTTTGAATTAAATAAATGATGCATAAATGACAAGTAAACTTTTTGAACACTAAAATTTAACTGTTGTCTGCGAAAACTTTTTTTTCTCACGCAATTTGTCTGGAAACTATTTTAATCTCTCACTTTCGTCTATTTTGTAACAATTGCAGTTTTGCAAAAAACGTCCAATTTCTTTTTATATGCCTCCGTTTAATTTGCTTATCGTCAAATTTGTCAATACATGAAAACCTTTAAGTTTTGGAAAATATCAAAGTGTGAAATGATGAGTCGTACAAAAAAGATACGACCGATCTGATTAGCTAGCCTCAATTCAACTTAGAAGGATTTTTTTTGTGCAGGATAATTCGCCACGCATAAATAATTCGCGTTATGCTATCAGCAATATGAATAAATTCTTCAAAGATCGCATATTTTAGTCCAACATATGGCCAATTAGGCAATTTTGATACCCCCAGAATTTTTTTGAAAAAATCGGAGGTAGAAGATCTTTTTAAATTGCACTCAGCAGATCGATATCTTCAATGGAACTCAAAAGTTTTTGTCGAAAACTATTATTTCGATCGGCAAAAATTGTCTGAATAAAAAAACCACATCGAGCATAAATATTCCGTTTCCTTCGAAAATCGGAACAAAAAATTTGATAAGTGGGGGAAAATTGAAAAAGTCGTCAAAATGTATGGAGCTATGACAAGTATTTTCGATGCATGGCATGGCGATCAACCTGGGCTGTCCAAAATCACCAAATAATTATTTGAGCTTCTCTTTAAAAAGAAAATGCAGATTTGTTTTAGATCCGTTCAGTTGGATTTAATTTCATCCAACTTTTGAAGTACATAAACATGCAAAGCGCGTTAAAGGTGTCTTAATTATGTTTGTTCCGACTTTCGATACGAAAGTAACGGAATATTTGTTCTCGGGTGGGTTTTTTTTTCTTCAGACAAATTTCGACTTTTTAACTAGCCATTTTTGACGGAATTTTTTTCTGTCATTCGAAAGCTATTGTTGTCCTGAGCTTAAATAAGAAAATATATTTCACCTGCGATCATTTTTCGAAAAGTTATGGGGGTTTAAAGATTGACATTTTGGCTAAATTGGAACAATTAACGCGATATATTTCGCGCTAATAACGCGTAAGCGGCGATTTAATCCGTCTTAGAAATCGTTCCGAATTGGTCGAAAGAAGCTTATTCGCCATAATTGATTTGTTGCAAGGAGCGAAATTTATTGTTTTGTACTTCATATGGTATGTGAGGGGGATAAGTATCATAAAAAATTTCAAATTTTAGAAAAATTATTTTTCATTTAGTTTTATTTCATTAATTTTTTTAATGTTATTACTGCTCCATAAACATTAAAAGGCAGTCGGAACTTTCAGGGCTTCGCCCTTATACGAGCAGTCTTGTTCTTTTTTCAGGTTAAAGAAAGTTTCAAAATTTTCATTCTTCAAAAAAATTGAAACTAGCTTCATCAATCTTAATTTTCAGTAATATTGACATTATATCTATTTTACACTAGCCCATATCGTTGTTCCTTCTTTTGCTCAAATGTCGTTATGTATTATGTTGCGTTTGTGTTGATGTGTGTGATTTCGCGCGTCTGTTTTTACCAGTTGGCTGCCCATTATGACTGCAATCTCTTTCTCAGCTGTGCACTGTAATGATCTCATCCGAAACACAACACGACACAACACACGCTATACAAAGATACATTCTCGGGTGAATGTACTCTAGCTGACAACACTATCAAATCACGTCCCTCTTCAACAGCGCATCATTTCAAATACAACCAAGAACATCAATTTTGGTACAATTATTACAAATTATGGTCATTCGCATATCTAAAACACTGATACCTTTATTGACACATTCAATTTTGAAAAATTTTAGTTTTTTTATTCGCCTGATTGTCAGTTTCAGTCAATGACGGCTCTTCTGTTCATCTATTTTATCATTTGTGCGCCTCTCAGATGAGCGAACAATCGGAGCATAAGTTAATTACCGCAAAGCCATACACACAAGAGTGAATACTTCGCAGCAGTTTCAGAGAAGATCAACATTGATTGAAATGGGAGATCTTTTTCTGCTGACTGAGTGTTGAGAATTGAATAGGTAGATAATGTATGTGCAGTCCCACTGTCCAGTACAGACTGGATCCCCAATGGCTGGTCATCAACAACAAACACCAGCAGTTGAAGTGGACCAGAGAGTGGAGATGTCCTCATTCCAGAAAGCCATGCAGCAGCTGGACTATGTCACACACGCCCAGAACAGCCTCAGGCAACATCGCCAGCCTCAAAACAACCACACCCACCCTAATCAACAGCCAAGTAGCCCCAGTCCAGTCTCTGCGCATGGAAACACAACGGGGGGTCTGTTCAGGAACAAAACCACTCTGGGCTTCTGCAGTCGCAAGTCGGCGGCCAAAAATAGTGAACCCTCCAAAGCAGTAGAGCTGCCAGGTACACCCAATACACACCTATTCATCTTGATTGTATTTGTCATACCGCTAAGTCCTCAAGGTATGAAATGCTAATTCCTGATTCCGTATGGATAGATAATATCGGGCGCGAGAGAGAGAGAAGTTAAAACAACTAGTTAATGTTAACGTTAATTCTCTTTCTGAACCGTAATACACTTTATCCGCCGTTCTCGTCCTCGCTATCAAGGTCAACCGACCAGTACACATTAAAGTTACATAATATCAAAACGTAAATGATGCATATAAATACATAATAAGTTTTATATGGAGTTTTATCTATCCATGCCGGATGATATTCCCCCTCCTCGGGAAAAATGATAAAGTTTTAATTGAGTTTTTAGTCCCCGTGTGACTGTTTTGTTCTGGCTGTTCATTTTTCTCCTCTTGTTTCCGTGGTATTGTTATCGATGTTGTCGTCCATTGTTCCGTGCTCTTCGTCATCATGTAGCTGTTTGTCTTCCTGCTCTTTCATTTCGATGTCCTTCGTGTTCACGAATAATATGTCGTTGTTTCGATTGTTTTGTTTTCTGCTTCTGTTGTGGGTGTTAAGTCGATTACGTCGCTTGCGGTGGTCGGTTTGTGTTTCGGGCTATTAGCCAGTATAAATTGTACCCAAGCCTGGTATTTGGAGTTTTTTCGGTAAACCCCATCTCCTGTATCAGAGAATTTAGGCTTGGAGAGTCTTGCATTGATTTTTCTGGTGGTGAGTCGATTTCGAACTGCTTTTTCCCGGATGCACTCGCGATCTGTTTTGTGCTGATTGGGATGGGGTTACCGAGTGCTGTTGCTAAGGTCGCCTGTCTGTTCCTAATTGACTTTCTTGTTGCGGTTGCAGGTGGTGTGTTCTTTTGATTTTGTCGCTTTGGTGACTGTGTGATGGGCTCCTCCGACGTTGACGACGAATCATCGCCTTCTCAGGGCTTTTGTTCGTTTCCTGTTCAGTCTCCGTTTGGAGGCTCATGCCCCGTGGTGTTTGTAGCTTTCTTACTGGTTTTCCTCCAGTCCTCTTTCCTGCCGCTTTGTTCGCCTTTCTTTTTGTGGGGCTGCTTTGGCTTGTGCTCAGTGCTGCCTTCTCCTGTCCTGTTAGCTTGATTGAAAGCCCCGTTCTAGTGTTCTCCTTGAACATGGGGTGTTGTGGAGCCTGCCACTTGTTCTATTCGTTTTTCAAAATTTTTGTCTATTGTTCTTTGTACTGCCTTGTACCATATTTCAGGTTTGTTTGTAGCTACTTCTATAGGTCTTGAATGTGCACCTGTTTCTGGCTGTGTTGGTGAATGCGTGTTAGTGAGCATCCTTGGTAGTGATTTATAGGTGGTGATCCCTTCTTTTGTATCTGCACTTCGTCCTCCGACCATCGCCGGAGGTCATGCATAACTTCCGCTGGTAGATGATTTGCGCTCTCCTTGATTGTATTTGTCATACCGCTAAGTCCTCAAGGTATGAAATGCTAATTCCTGATTCCGTATGGATAGATAATATCCGTGCTCTTCGTCGTCATGTAGCTGTTTGTCTTCCTGCTCTTTCATTTCGATGTCCTTCGTGTTCACGAATAATATGTCGTTGTTTCCATTGTTTTGTTTTCTGCTTCTGTTGTGGGTGTTAAGTCGATTACGTCGCTTGCGGTGGTCGGTTTGTGTTTCGGGCTAATAGCCAGTATAAATTGTACACAAGCCTTGTATTTGGGAGTTTTTTCGGTAAACCCCATCTCCTGTATCAGAGAATTTAGGCTTGGAGAGTCTTGCATTGATTTTTCTGGTGGTGAGTCGATTTCGAACTGCTTTTTCCCGGATGCACTCGCGATCTCTTTTGTGCTGATTGGGATGGGGTTACCAAGTGCTGTTGCTAAGGTGGCCTGTCTGTTCCTAATTGACTTTCTTGTTAGCTTGATTGGAAGCCCCGTTCTAGTGTTCTCCTTGAACATGGGGTGTTGTGGAGCCTGCGGATTTTCTATGTCTAAAAAACGTAGACATGTTACGGTTCTCCGTGCGGATTTATATGCAACATAATCGCTTAATCGAGTAGGTCTGCATGGTCCGTATATTACAGTGTTGGGAACAAAAGCTGTACCGCTATTTCTGAGTAACCTCGGTTGTTTGCCAAAAGCTTGTACCCAAGCAGTGTGTGGTGTGTAGGTTAGGATTTTTACATCTATGATCTTATATTTTGTTCAAACGTTTTTGGGTTCTTGACTTTTGTTGCTAACCGGATAGTTTTCCGTGCCACTTGTTCTATTCGTTTTTCAAAATTTTTTGTCTATTGTTCTTTGTACTGCCTTGTACCATATTTTAGGTTTGTTTGTATCTACTTCTATAGGTCTTGAATGTGCACCTGCTTCTGGCTGTGTTGGTGAATGCGTGTTAGTGAGAATCCTTGGTAGTGATTTATGTGTGACTTTAGGTGGTGATCCCTTCTTTTGTATCTGCACTTCGTCCTCCGACCATCGCCGGAGGTCATGCATAACTTCCGCTGGTAGATGATTTGCGCACTCCTTGATTGTATTTGTCATACCGCTAAGTCCTCAAGGTATGAAATGCTATTTCCTGATTCCGTATGGATAGATAATATCGGGCGCGAGAGAGAGAGAAGTTAAAACAACTAGTTAATGTTAACGTTAATTCTCTTTCTGAACCGTAATTCACTTTATCCGCCGTTCTCGTCCTCGCTATCAAGGTCAATCGACCAGTACACATTAACGTTACATAATATCAAAACATAAATGATGTATAAATACATAATACGTTTTATATAGAGTTTTATCTATCCATGTCGGATGACAGTATTAGAGCAATAACAAGCCAAACATTCTGGAATTCTGAATGGGATCCATTTCCGTGTATCCATGAGCTGTTTTTGGACAGAATAATGTGTACGTTTGCAATTCCACCCGGATACCGAAATTGTCAAATTATAGCCGATGCTAAACTATTAAAACATTAAAAGGTAGCTCAAAAGGATTCTAAGACAAGCTCCTGGTTTTCAGAGATGTTCCTGGGTCCCGAAAAGTGGAGACCTTCACAGTCCAGCAAACCACGCAGCTTCTCTGCCTTTCAGAGGGTATCTCAGTCCAACAACAATCAGAAAACAAACACGACCAACAACAACAATAACAACAGCAGTAATAACGGGCGATGCAAAAGTGTCAATCAGCCCAGATACCTCCAGTTCGACCCGGAGGAGTTCCGTCGGCCGGGAACTTCTCTCATCTACTTGCGGGAGAAGCAGAGTCTGAACAGGAAGCCCTGGAGCAGCTGTGGGGAGAGGGGCACTGTGAGGAGCAGTGTGGGGGGCAAAGTTTCTGGCATTGATGGAGGCACTGGAAAGAATAGTCTGACCTCTGAGCTGCACTTGCATGGGAAGTCACTGGCGGCCAGTGGCAGCCAGGAGCAGCGCCACAGTCATCAGCCAGATGGTCCAGAAGGAGAAGCAAATGGATCAGAAAAAGGTACAAGAAGAGGTAAGCAGTTTGGCGATTGCTCCCCATCAAGCCAACCCCAAGGGATGAGAAGGATTTCTGGCTAGGACGTCGTTATTTTAACCGGAAAATAAGTTACAACAAACAACGCCAGATGCAAAACAGTGAAAAAATTGTGTATCCGTTTGAAGACTAAGAAACAAGTTTCAGAAGGCTGTTGCAATAAACTCAATTTGTTTCAGTAGGGATTTTAGCTACACTTAATCTTTTAGCAAATTTCATCTAGTTTGGAGCTAAATTTCATGCATTGTTATTGAAATGCGACACAAAAACGGCACAAAATTTGAAAAAAAAAACTGAAAACTCTAACTGGTGGTCTAATAAAACATATGCATAGAACAAGACTGCTCGTATATCAGCCCGCATCCAAGTTTAGGCAAAAGTAATCGATTATAACGCATCATTATGATGATTTTTTGACAATTATATTAAATTATAGTTAACAAAATTAGGTGTTTAAAGGACTTATAATTGATTATATTCGTGATATTTTCCAAGAGATTTTAATCTCTTATAATCGATTATAGTTGATTATAGTTCTTACAAAAAACCCTTAAAATCGGTTATAATCGTTTATAATCAATTATAATTTCTTATTTTGCCACAATTTTGTCAAGTCAAAACAATATTCGAATTATTTCTTTTGGGTTACTATTTTGTGTCAATAGCAAAATCTCAAAATCTCTTGAACCTTTTGTTTCATCTGAACACAAAGTTTTACCACAAAACATAAGTTTCATAGAGATCTTTTCATATTAGTGGAAAGGTTCCTGCAGTAGATGAAAGTTAAATCTTCCGAATCAGTCATGAAAACTAAATCAGTTTGCTGATGTTTTAGTGGTTAAAAAATTTAAACTATGCATCACAAAACATCTCTAATGAGGAAGAAACGAATTTTTTTCATATAAATTCGAATTGATATGAAAATTTGAAAACAGTTTTTTCATGTTTCAAAGGAACTAACGTCTACAAAAAGCATAAAAAAAGCAATTTAGATGCAATTTTGAAGAAAAAACGGACAAACAAAAGGAATTTTAATCAAATATAATCGATTATAATGGATTTTTGTGCAAAACTTATGAATGAAAATTAGAATAAAAACAATGCATTATAATAGAATATAATTGTTTATAATTGTATCGAAAAATAGACGGATAAGTAATCGATTATAATCAATTAAAATGTATTATAATTAATTATAATTTTATTTCACAAAAAGATATTACAGTCGATTATCAATTGGATAAAATTGATTGTTTTTCTTTTTTAGTAAGACTGGTAACATAATCGATTAAAAACGTTTGAAACTGGATGCGGGAGGGTAAAGCCCTGAATGTTCCGACTGTCCCTTAATTCATATCGAATAATTTTCGGGAAAAGAAGACGTATATTGAAAACCTATACCTTTTGGACAATATCAGACTGTAAAATTTTGAGTGGTACAAAATTAATACGATTACCAATTTGCTAGTCTATTTGGAACAATTTTGTTGTGAGGGATAATTCGCCACGCATAAAATATTCGCGTTACACTCTCAGCATTATGAATAATCTGTTCAAAGCGCGCATGATTTGTCAGAACACGACAAATTTGGCAACTTTCAAACTCCCAGAAGTTTACAAAAAAATAATCGGAGGTGAAATATCTTTTTACATTTGAACTCAAAAAGTCAATATCTTCAATGGGGTATAAAAATTTTTTGTTGAAAATAATTTTTTTGATCGATGAAAATTGACTGAATGAAAAAAACCACACCGAGCATAAATATTCTGTTTTTTTTCGAAAGTCGGAACAACAAGACTGATCGCATCAAAGCAAAAACAGAACGCTTTGTCTACTGTTTATAGCGATGAAAAAATTAAAAAACTTCGATTTTCTTTATTTTTTGTATAAATTTATCTGTTTTTTCTTCCAATTTTGCTTAAAATTCTTTAAAAAATAGCAAACAGGGGAGCAGGAAAACTATCAGTGGTTTTTTGTTTCCGTTGCAGTTCGGTTTCATTAGATGACTAAAATTATTCATGTGCATCATTATGTAGTTGATGCAACAGCTATAGGTTACATTGAAAAACTTTGAGCAAACCGAAAAATGAACAGTTTTCAGAGTGCAAAATAAGCTGTCGCTTATGGGATATGAAAATCATGTGAAAATCACAAACAAAAGGAACGCAATTGAAAAATTTACCTGATTTTACTTTTTATTATGTTTTATATGATTGTTCTGCAAAAAGATTGCAGTCATAATTTTAAAAAATGAACTTGTGTTTCAAATATAGCACTAAATTTTCAAATACGGCACGGTAAAATACTGCACACGTTGTATTTTTTAAATCATTATTTTATTTCTTTTTTTCTTTCAAAATAGGCGCCCTGTAATCAAGCTTACTGGAACAAAAATGAGCTCTGAAAATGAGATAAAGGTTAAACTTCAAATTAATAGCACTTTTTGTTCAATACGGATAATCAATTAAGATTAAGAATACTCTTCTTGCAACCCTTGTTTGCTCATATAACCGGTATTTGTGCTCTTCAGTTTCTGGCTTAACGCACTGTTCAACATCGTCTATTTGAATTTCAGCCACAGGGCACCATGACTGTTGGAAAATCTTTTCAGGCTATCAGTATCGAGTATTTAAAAACAGAACTGAATACTTATGTCATTATAATAAATCGATTAGAAAATAAGCATATCCATGAATTCGCGTATTGGTAAAACTTAATACTTACCAAATCCCGATTTAAAAAATAAAGAAAAAAACTGCGCTGTTCTTATTTATTTTCTGTTAACAATGACTACGGCTTTGGGCAAAAGTCATTTCGCCAATAGGAACCTATGAAGATTCTAAGTAGTTGAAAAATTTCCATCAATTGGTCCCTCCACCATGAGAAAATCCCCACCCCCACCACGGTATAGTATGATCACAAAGATCAGATGCCGCACGCTTCATATTCAATAGCAGAGTATTTTGGCAAGCACTAATAGCTGAGATATTATTTGTTCTCGTCTAGAAAAATTGATTACGAATTGAAGTTAAGATCCATAGTCGAAATCCCGCTCAAAAACTGCTCAGGATTTGAGCGGTTTGAGCGTTTGTTTTAGACGATTGCGCTCGAACGCTCATTAGCGCAAAAATCGCTAAAATCCTCGCTTGAACGATCAAACCGTTCAAAATTGATCAAATTTTAGCATGAAACGCTCAAACCGCTCAAATTTTGATCGTTTTTTGATATTTTGATTGAAAATTTTCTTCCGATGTAGGGCACTCATAATCAACCCTTTAGAAATCAACCCAAAAACCAACCTAAAACTTTCTAGGGTTCAAAAATTAGTCGTCAAGGCTCAATAAGTCTCCTAAGAAGTAAAAGAACCGCTCAAAAACCACTCAAAACTGCAATAAGCGCAACCCGTGCCGAAAAAAATTTAATTTCTCGTGAGAAATATCTAACTTTTTATCCAAAATATCTGACCAGAATTTCTTTTCGAAATGTTAAAAACAGGGATTATCTTGAAATTTTAAATCCTGGTCTTACTTCCCGCACTGAAGTTTCATGG